GACTCCTCGGCCGAGGAATGGGAGTACGTGGATTCGCTGGAAAAGTGTCGGCCTTGCTTGGCTTCGGGGAATGGGCTTGAGGAGTTCACCTGGAAAGATCCAAAAACACCTGCCCATGAGATGGTGTTTTGAACAGAAATGGCTGCAGCGTAAAACACTCTGTGATATCTAGTAATCAGATGGACTCATGGGTTGGATTGGTCATAACATGAACCACTGTAAACAGAAGAGAATTAGCAGTGACAACTTTTATACAAGTGCTCTTTGAACCACTCCCTATTCTTGTTTTGCACATTCTCTGCCCACAAGCAACTCCTGATGGAAAGGAAAGTGTAACACTGGAGCAGGTTTCCTGAGGACCCATCCAGCTTACACTGAGTGCAGCTGAGGACAGTGGAAGTCTCCAAAAGAAACTAATTAGATTTCCTTTATTTTTTTTTTTAGGGGCCAAACAGAAAAAAAAAAACAAAAATCAAACCCAAACAACAAAAACTTCAGCACCCAGGAAGATTTTTGGCTGGGGGACTGTTGAACTTGTGAAACTATTTGAATGAATTCTCTGGGTCTGTGTATAAATTTCATTCAAAACAAAGAGAAAGGCAAAAATGTGGAAAAACAGAAAGGGAGGGGCTTAACCTGTATCCCAGTTGATAAAACAGCATCACATGGGTGAAAATCAGTCTGAGCTTCACCCATGTGATGCTGTTGTCTCTGTCACTCTTTCTTTGGTTCTGGCTGTGTGAGGATCATGTCATTCACGCTGAAGAAAAATCTGAAAGAAAAATAGAGAACAGTCCTATCTGTGTTTGGAATCATAGAATAATTATCATAATTGCCTGTGTTTTGTCTAATAGAAATGTTCTATTTGCAATACTGTCATTACCACGGTACTGTACACAATCTTGTTTAAAAAAAAACCTTTTCGTTGAAAAATTTGTTCTTTAAAAAAGATCTAAAACATGATTACTGGGTGAATGTGAGCTGATCTTGATCTCTAGCATCCAGTATCCAATAATTGAAATAACCAATAATATCCAATAATTGAAAACCAGTCTCAATTAATACAAACTATCCCATCCATCACATTCTTTTCTCATTCTGCAGTGAAAGTAAAATTTGGATATTCTGTTTCTGTTATGATGCGTAGTTTCACCAATCCTATAAAAAAAGGTCATATTTCCAGTCTGGTGACAGATGTGTGTCAGGAAACATTTACCTCTCCTTCCTTCCTAACTGATTTGCTATGGAAAAATCCAGGTCTTGGCTCATGAGGAGCAGCAATAATTTCATTTTAACAACACATCGGGCTTTGTTCCGCCGCCTTTACGGTGTTTAAATATCCCGGGACAAGGGAGGAGCAAGGGCAGGCCCAGGGCTGTTTTTGGCGGCCCTGGCACACGCAGGGGTGGCACTCACTGAGGGGGTGCGGTGGTAGCTGTCACACAGCGCGGAGGAGCCCTCCTGCTTCAGCGTCAGCGAGCCCTCCATGTCGTCCTGGTCGCTCTCGCTCCAGTAATCTGCTGACAAAGCATTCCAGCTCTCACTCGGGTGCTTTTCCACCACAAAACAGATCCCACATTCTAGCAACATCTTTCCATGACAAGGTAAAGTTCCCCAGTTGCTGTGGTGTGTTCTTAAGTTCGTTAGTTTGCTCCCCCCATTTTCTGTATTACTTCCTGCTGCTACCCTGCCAGTTATGTTGCTATGGAAATGAAACTGCTCCTCCCTTGGTTTCTCTTATAAAGTGAAAGTTGTTTCCTCCTTGGGGTCAGTCAATCACTCTTTTTCTCCTCCCAGGTTTCGAGAATTTTCTTTTCTCTGGGAGTTATGGTTGGCTGTAGCCCCGGAGCCCCTCCTATAATTTATAACAGTTGGTTACTTTAGTATATCAGTTATGTTTCGTACCTCCAAATATGTATTTCTATTGGATAGCCGGGTTTCCCTGCCTTCTTCCCCCCTTTTCCCTTAAAACCCTCTCCTGCCCCCTGTTCGGGGCCATTTGCTGGGTGTTTCCCCTCCTTGTTGGTTCTTCTGTAATAAACCGACAGTTTACCCCCAGCAAGTGGTCGCCTCCTAATTCGTCTCTCACCGCGCTGCTCCGAGCTATCCCCCAGCTCAGCCCGAGGCCAAGACGCCGAGGGGGGGCTGTTTTCTGATGCGCAGGGGCCCTGGCCTTCGCCCCTCACCAGACAGCCGGATTCCAGGGCCGTTCACGCCCCCGCGCACCCAGTCACCTGCAGGGCTCGGCAGCCGCTCAGGAAGGGGCTGGTGGGAAGCCTGGCCTCAAACAGAGAGTGCAGGAAGCTCTGAAGGCTTTAGAGAAGGGTCACAGAAGGCAGCTGGGACACCTGACTCCCACAACCAACTTCTACTCCCACACTTTCACACAGAAACCTCGTTCCAGATGCTGAAGTTAGAGCCAAGCCTGAACACTTAATTTAATTGGGCATAACAGGTTCCACTGTGGGTGATGGGGAGAGGACAAGGCTGGCACGCGAGCTCAGGAGGTGCAAACGAATATTGCTGAAGCACACATTGCCCCAAGTCTCTGCCATGTTTTATGAGGGTGAACATCCCTGAGGGCTGGGATCTGGGAGATCACACCTCACCCTGAACCCCACATTTTCTTTATCACTTATTTTAAATATTTCTTAAAATTACTGCTCAGGATTTGATTTTCTTTGGTGGTGGCACCAATAAATGTAGTTCAAGGAAATGTATTCTTATCAAAATTGATATTTAGAATGATATGGCCATATGTTGATAAAGTCAGTTACGACCTCTCCAGCTTTAGTGAAATACTGAACAGATTTGTCCTGTCTGCTCTCTTCTCCTAATTATAACCACTGAAGCATTACCTTCATCTGGGTGAATATCCTTGTCATCAGGTGTGTAACCAATTGCTGCGAGACCCAGACGATTCATCCATCTAACAGAACAATAAAAACGAGGAAGAGAGGTATTTAAAAGGAACTTCTCATGTAAATCTGAAGGCATCCACATCCTTAACATCTGGAAAAGTCAGACACGACACCTAAACAAAAAGGCTGTTAAACCCACGATTCAGATGTGCTGGGTGGTTGATAAGTGGGAATAAAGGATTTATCACATTTATTCTGATTGCTATTTATTTCAAGAACTTGCTCAAATTGCCAAAATACTGGAAAATAAAATAGACTTATGATAATTATTGTCTGGAAACCTGTGTTGGGAAATTAAAGTTGTATTAAACTTGTATTCTCAGAAAGCTAAAACAGCATATGGCATTTTGGTTATTTGCTAGTCTGGATTCACAATGCTGGTGATATAAACACTTGGCGTTGTTGAGCTGTGATATCAACATTGTTTTCCCTTAATTTGTTTAATACAGACTTTTGGGTTTCTAAAGTCTTGGTAAACTGCAAGTGCTTCAATATTTGCATTTCACATTGGATGTGTGAAATTGGTTTCTTTCTTTGCCCCCAAATTATTTAGTTTGATAGAAAAGAAGATTCTTTACTTCCTTAGGGAAATATTATAGCTAATGTTGGGGAAAATACCTTTTGAGTTTTCTTTCTGTAAGATTACTGGATTTTTACACAACATATAATTAAAAAACTAGGGGGAAAAGGGAAATTAACACACAGAGGGAAAAGTCACTTCTTAATGTTCAGCAAATGGAAAATCAAGAATTATCTTATTTTCATCAACAAGGAGATATAACCAAAGAAAAAAAGCCCTAATTGTGACATCTATAATGCCTGGGATGTTTTGAACCATTCCCTTCCTTGGTGACTAAATTCTTAATTATCTAATTAATTTCCCAGAAAATTGATGTGAGAGTTTATCTAGAAGCAGCTCTTTTTCCTTTTCGAACATTTGCAACATCAAATTTGTTAATAATTATCTTCTTGGTTAATGAATATTATAATGACAAAACCATCTTTCACAGGCCTCAAGTCAGACATTAGTGAACAGTACATGCAATACCAAAAGGACAAGTTGTTTTGCAGATCAAAACAAGAAAACTCGTCAGTGTCGTTCTTTCCCACTTGTACTAGAGGAGAAAAAAAAAGCTTTTAAGGACGTGAGTGTGACTGTCATTGTCCAGGAGAGGGGTGTGTGGGACATGGGAGGCACAGCAAGGAGGCAGAAAACGAAGGAAGAGTGAACTGTGCACTAAAAATAGCTCAGAGTTGAGCGCGTATTGATCCCCTGCTCCCAGCAATGATCCCCATCTCTGATATTGGCACAGCCCCGACTCACAGAGCCTCTGCCTGGATCTCATGGCTTTCCCAAGCAGCCAAAGGGGACCACAACATTCACTTCTTACAGGGAATTGTGAGAGGGTTTAATTTACTTGCAAACCTATGAAAATAAAGAACTGTACAATCATATTGCTTTGCCTCTCAGTATTAAGGCAGAAGTCAGCAAATTGGAGATGAAAATGGAAATGATGATTAGTTTTCCCAAATACCAACTGCAGGCTTAGCACTGCTTACAGCCCTTGTTTGCATCAGCACATCAATAACTCATCTTTATCATGAGGGAAGTACATTTAAAATGGATTAACAGATTTCCAGAAGAGCTTTAGCACAGTGCTCTCCAGCATCATTTCCCTCAGCTCACGGTGCCTGCATTGCCTGGGGTTTGCTTCCCTTGCAGGGCAGATCCTTCACTGCAGGACTGGCAGTGACATCACTCCTTTATCAGCATTTCTATTCACCAGTTTTTCATCAGTTGTTCCTGAATTTCTGAACTCATTAGCACTGGAGCAAAATAGTTTCAGTCATACTTTGCCATATGCCTTTGGCAATTAAGCAGGATGGCTCAGTGCCTTCAACTGAGGTTCTGCTTAAGCACCAATGATAAATTAGGACTAATTACCATTTTCCAAGTTAAAACAGACACAGCCATTTGTGTGGTCAGTGCATGGAAATTTATATTGTCTTAAATTTCTTGCAAAATTTCTTTCTTGCTCATTGTTAATTTGAGGGTGTCAGATGCTGGAAGCAAACACAGACACCAGTTGAAGTGTCAGGATTAACCTCCCAGAGCCAGGGATGCTCTGAGGATACCCAGAGCATCAGCTTTATGCACATGGCCTCAATGGCCAAATCTGGAATTAGCTGAAGTTAATCTTCCTTCGCTAAGGCTGCTCAGGCTTTTCTCTTCCAAAGGCCAAGATCATCCCCACCAGAGTTACAAGGACTTTCTTACCTCATTTACCACAATTCAGAGTCAGCTGCTGGCCAAGCCCACATAAAGGGTTATCTGATGACATTCAGTGGCTTATCATGGTAAAATCTCTTCTGATAAAAGAACTAGAATCTCCATTTTAGGTTTTGTGTTTTTAAGAAAAGCATGAGTGAATGTTTTTTGAGGTTAATCAGGAGATATACAAGTGGCGAGATTACAGCTCATTTTCTTACAGTTAATTTTTTTTTTCCCAAGGAAATGCAAGCTCAGTTCGAAAGGAACCCTGCATAAACTTGATGAATTTCCTTGATGAGCAAACCACTTTCATTTCTCAGAAAACTGCAGGTTTTTCAAGGTTATAAAAAGCTCTTTGTGGAGAGCCTGGAAAGGCAGGCAGTTGGTTCTGAACTGTCCCAGGTGCCCTGTGGGCAGAGGTTGGGTTCCAGCTGGCCCTGGAGCTCCTGGCAGAGCTGAGGGATGGAGGATGCACAGCCCGGGGAGGGGCTGGCTGCTGCAGCTGCCAGCACAGCCCCAGCGTTGCTGTTGGGGCTCTGGAGCTGTGCCCCACCTGCTCTGATGTTGTAGTGTGTTGTAATGTCCTGTTTTAAACTCCCGGGTCCCTTACCCAGGTGTGCCAAAACACTCCCTTCCCCGCTCGCCCCCTTGCTGAGTGAGTCCTGTCAATCAGGCTTAACATCCCAGCAAAGGCGTCGTGTGGTTGGTCAAATTCAAAGGATGCCCCTCAGGCCCAGAGGTCATTGGCCTGTCTAGGTGTCCCTCGCCCCTTGAGACCCCGGCCCCCCCACCTGGTTGGTGGCTCACCTGTCCCCTCCCCTCCCCCTGAGAGGAGCAAGCCATGTGCTCTGGATTTGTTGGAGGTCTTCCCAAGATTCAGACCTTAAAAGGTGAAGCACGCCATGTGCTCTGGATTTGTTGGAGGTCTTCCCAACATTCAGACCTCTGTAACCATGGAATAAACCACTGCATATAACCCTCCGGCAGAATCCCTCCTTTTTTCTCTTCACCTTCGCCTGAAGCCTTCCTCCTGAGGTAACGGAGTCCCTAACAAGCCTGGACTTGTTTAGTGCCCAGCTGAAACCATCAGCAAGCTAAAGGTGTCTCTGGGGTGATACACCACAGCTGCCGCCTTTGGCCCAGCAGCGAGGGTCAGACTGGCCCAGGCACAATCTAACTGGTAATATTGGGATTCATATTCCAATACTCTGGGACTCCCCTGTGGCCACAAGGAGGCCTGGGCTGCCCTTTGGGATCTCAGGTGNACATCCCATACCCCAACCCCAGGCTGGGCTCCCTCCCCAAATCCTGCCTTTTTGCCTGGATAACTGCAACAACTCTGTCCTGTTGATGATTAAACAACTTAACCAGCATGTTTCACTGAGTCTAGGCCGCCCAACAGAGCACAGGGTTTGCATTCTGGGTGGGAATTGTGATGACAGAACAGCACTGCACGTCCCAGGGATCCTCTGCCACAACAGCTTACCTCCAGGATTGTACAAATCCCCATAAGCCACAATCACTTACCAAGGCACATTGTAACTACCAAGAAATGGCTTGTTTTTATTGCCTGTACTCCAGTGAACCAAAGGCAGGGAAAGATGAGCCTCCAGTAAAGTCATCAAAACGCACAAGTAAATTTTGTACTTAGTCTCAATTAAATTCTAAATAAATCAGGCTTGGTTGTAATTAATTCTGTTGGTTACAAACAGGCACTGCTGTCATTGCTTTGGGATAAAATAGAGCTGCCTGGTAGTATTTAAGTTAAATTTACTGAGATAATTCTGGTTATTACCCAGGGCCTCTTCTGAGAGTCTGATTGTGCCCCAGGCCTGGGCTGAGCTGAGTGAAGGCTCGAGGGCAGTGAGGAGCTGTCACAGCCTGAGACTGGAGTGAATCATCCCAAAAAACCCCAAATTGTCAGGAACCAGGAGCACATTCAGCCACTGACAGAAACACTGGGAAGTGCTGAAGGGGGCCAAGCAGCTGGAAACAATTGCACATTGCTTTGCTCCCCTAACACTGCACTGAAAACCAGAATATGCCACTCCTCAATGTACAAATTAATGAATTTCTGGCTTTCATAGTTTACTCTGCTGAGCCAGCCCTAGGTCAGTGGGAGGTTCTGGGAGTGAAGACAAAGTTTCCACAGTGGCACCACACTCACCCCCTTGGCTGCTCCTTTATACAAGTCCAGAGTGAAAAAGCACAAATAAAAAATACAACAGCTTGGACAATCTCAGTAGTCATAAATTGGAGAAAAATATTTTTTTTTGTGTTGGAGAATGAAAACCAAGGGAAGAGGATAACCTTTTTTCTCTTCCTATAAAAAAGGGGTGAAAAGTTAGAGTTTTTAGGTTATAGTTAGAACTGTTCCATAAAACCATGGAGAAGAGGGGAGAAAGAAGTGAGATTCTGTGGCTCTGAAAAGTTTGATTTGCTAACATCTCCACGTATTGCACATACCAGGTGGCTGGTTTTAGAAAAAGCTATTTAATTCAAATGAATATGTAAAAAATTATATGTCCTGAAAAGGTGTAAATTCAAGAAAAAGTCCAATTACTTTTCCCATTTCTCTCCGCTAAACCTTCCTTTAAAAATGAAGTCTATGAAATCCTAACACATTAACAGAAAGAATAAATAAAATATATTTCCTATCTTCCTTGCATCTTTTCATTATTAATTCTTGCCCTTGTACACCACTTCAGTTTTGTGTTAGAAATGTTTCAGTGCAGA